AATTAGTTTTAATTAGTTTTTCTTTTAATCATTACATGTAGCCCACCCATTGTCATTGTGATTGTGCTTGTTGTAATTTTATATTGTTATGTATTCACATGTTTTATATAAGTATGATGTTGTTGTTTATTGTTCGCGTTTTCGGTTTGCGTTTTCAGTTTTACTCTATTTTAATTTGTTGTTTGTTGTTGTAAGCCGCTCCGAGTCCCCATCGAGGAGATGGTGGCAGGGTATAAATAAAGTCTATTATTATTATTACCACTCCGGTGGGAAGGTAACAGCGCGCCATGCAATCATGCTGGCCACATAACCTTGGAGGTTTCTATGGACAACGTCATCTCTTTGGCTTAGAAATGGAGATGAGCACCACCCCCCATAGTTGGACACGAGGGAAAACCTTTACCTTTCGTGTAGTAAGATTATCTCAAGATTTGCCATTCTAATAGTTTTTAAAACTATGTATTTTTCTGAGGGGGAGCTAACTCTATTTCCATTAAAAGAAAATGTTTGTGTTAACCATACAGATCAAGAGTCCCCAAACTAAAGCCCAGGAGCTGGATGTAGTCCTCCAAGGTCATTTACCTGGCCCCTGCCCTTAACTTAAGACTTTGGGTTGCCTGAAATCTGAAGCGACTTGAAGGCACACAGCAACAACAGTCCTAATTAACTTGACTATCTCATCAGCCAAAACCAGACCCACACTTCCTAATGAAAAACCGGTAAGTTTATATTGGGAAAACTGTGTTTTGTTTTAAATATTGTATTGTTACTTCATGGTTTTTGCACTACAAATAAGATATATGCAGTGTGCATAGGAATTCATTCATATCTTTTTCGAATTATAATCCGAATTTTTCGAATTATAAATCCTCCAACAGTCAGTGGGACCGTGAACCGCCCCTCAGCTGAAAAAGTCCCTAATATAGAAAGTAATCCCTAATATAGAAACAGTACCTTCAACTTGCATGATTCTCTGATTCCTTTGCAGAATTCTGCCAAAGCTCAAGAGCACTCCCTGCAGTCCTACAACAATAAATACAAACCATGTTAACAGATCCCTCCTTTCCTCTCATCATCCACTCAAGTCCTGCTCCCTCCTTCCTCTCTCATGAGAACTATCATATTCAAAGCTGTTGCTCCCCCTTATGTCCTCTTTGTTAATAACTATATATTTTGGTCTCGATAAAATAGTAAAGGGTAGAGACATCAGACTGGCAACAAAGATCCGCCTAGTCAAAGCCATGGTATTCCCTGTAGTAACCTACGGATGTGAGAGCTGGACCTTAGGGAAGGCTGAGCGAAGGAAGATCGATGCTTTTGAGCTGTGGTGTTGGAGGAAAGTTCTGAGAGTGCCTTGGACTGCGAGAAGATCCAACCAGTCCACCCTCCAGGAAATAAAGCCCGACTGCTCACTGGAGGGAAAGATACTAGAGACAAAGTTGAAGTACTTTGGCCACATCATGAGGAGACAGGAAAGCCTAGAGAAGACAATTATGCTGGGGAAAGTGGAAGGCAAAAGGAAGAGGGGCCGACCAAGGGCAAGATGATGGATGGCATCCTTGAAGTGACTGGACTGACCTTGAAGGAGCTGGGGGTGGTAACGGCCGACAGGGAGCTCTGGCGTGGGCTGGTCCATGAGGTCACGAAGAGTCGGAGACGACTGAACGAATGAACAACAACATATATTTTGGTACTGTTTAAAAGACCACAGCCAAACATTCAACAAGATGGTTATAACAATTATAAAACTTTATTTATATCCCACCCCATCTCTTTGGGGACTCAGAGCTGCTTGCAGCAATGTGAACAATACAACAATAAAAAATAACAAAACAAATAACCAAATTAAATCAACAAAACTAACAATACAAAACTGATACAAAACGAACCAAAACATATCAAATTAACACAACCATTTCTGCATTAACTATTTTAACTGTGAAAAACTCATACATGCCATTAACCACAAGAGTCGGTTTGTTCTTTCATTTCAAAATGGCATCTCAGGTAATGTAACATTGCACACAAAGTATTCATGATTTCGTTTCTTGTCTAACACTTTATTCAATGATGAAGGCAGATTGGACAGAGGTTCAGTCTTCTCTGTCACTTTAATTTAAGGGTGCATTTGATATACACATCTTGAGACTAACACAGTTTTTCTGCCTCCTCCGTTGTATGTGCTAGTTTTGCCCTTTTGGTATTATAATTGTTATTATTTAACTAGCCGTCCCCTGCCACACATTGCTGTGGCCCAGTCTGGTGATCTGGGAAATAAAGTAATGAGAAAGTGTTGGTTTCTAATATATGCAATTTCTTTCTGCTTGTGGGTAAACAGTATTTCTTGCGGTTTGTCAGTGTTTGATGTAGAGATTGGTTTGCCTACTCTTGAATATGCAACATATATCTGTCCTTCTTTAGGGGTCCCTTCCAAATCTATGATACTATATCTCTCTGTGTGTGTGAATCATATATATCTATATCTATGGCTGGGTGGCTCTTTGTCAGGAGGGTTTATGTTTTCTTGCCCTGGTGAAGGGAGTTGGACTGGCTGGCCTTAAGTATTTTCAGTTGGTCATGGGGGTTCTGTGTGGGAAGTTTGCCCTAATTCTGTCATTGGTGGGATTCAGAATACTCTTTGATTGTAGGTGAACTATACATCCCAGTAACTACAACTCCCCAATGCCAATGGCTATTTCCCCCAAACTCCATCCGTGTTCCTAGTTGGGCATATGGAATATTCATGCCAAGTTTGGTCTAGATCCTTCCTTGTTTGAGTCCACAGTGCTCTCTGGATGTAGGTGAACTACAACTCCCAAACTCAAGGTCAATGCCCACCAAACCCTTCTAGTGTTTTCTGTTGATCATGGGAGTCCTGTGTGCCAAGTTTGGTTCAATTCCATCATTGGTGAAGTTCTGAATGCTCTTTGATTTTAGGTGAACTATAAATCCCAGCAACTACAACTCCCAAATGACAAAATCAATTTTTTTAGTTGATGGTCATTCCTTGGGTTAGTAGGTATCTTGTGGCCAAATTTGTTGTCAATTTGTTCAGTGGTTTTTGCGTTACGTTAATCCCACAAATGAACATTACATTTTTATTTATATAGTTTTATATCCTGCCTTTCTCCCAATGTGGAATCAATGGTGGAATATAACACACAAAACAATTAAAAAGCTGTTAATGCTGCATTTCTATATAAAAACAAGTGGAAAAGGTTGAAAACAACATTACAAACAACATGAAATGATGCTTAAATACACAATAAAATAAAACCACTACTCCCATCATCAAAAACGACTCACAAGATTTGCCTTTAGATTGGAGCAGCTGTGTTCTGTCTCAATTTATTAATTATCAGTTTATTTGCCCTCATCCAGTCCACTATTGACATGAATGAGATACTCTAGGACAGGCACGGGCAAACTTTGACCTGCCAGGTATTTTGGATTTCAACTCGCACAATTTCTAACAGCCAGTAAGATAGTTGAACAGATTAGAGAGATGGGCCAAAACTAGCAAAATGAAGTTCAACAGTGACAAATGCAAGTGACTCCACTTAGGCAGAAAAAAATGAAATGCAAAGATACAGAATGGGGGATGCATGGCTTGAGAGCAGTATGTGTGAAAAAGATCCTTTATGAGAGCAGTATGTTTAACATGTTGGAGTCCTCGCGGACAACATGTTAAATATGAGCCAACAATGTGATGCGGTGGCAAAAAAAGCCATTGGGATTTTGGCCTGCATCAATAGGAGTATAGTGTCTAGATCTAGGGAAGTCATGCTACCTCTCTATTCTGCCTTGGTTAGACCACATCTGGAATACTGTGTCCAGTTCTGGGCACCACAATTGAAGAGAGATATTGACAAGCTGGAATGTGTCCAGATGAGGGTGACTAAAATGATCAAGGGTCTGGACAGGCCGTAGCCAGGATTTCATTTCGGGGGGGGGGGGGGGAATTTTTTTTCAGGGGGGGGATTTGGGGGGGGGCTGAGTTTCTGGGGGGGGCTGAGTCTGAGTGAAAGAGGGTCTAGCCTAGCAAACCTTTTTTATTGTTACCCCAATACCCCCATGCATATGGGATATATTGAGTATGGTGATCAGATCATGATATGAATAAACATAACAGTTTAAATAATGCACCAGTAAGGCCTTTTGCGAACCACCATGAGAATTTCGGGGGGGGGGGCTGAAGCCCCTCAAGCCCCCCGGGCGACTAAAATGATCAATGGTCTGGAGAACAAGCCCTATGAGGAGTGGCTTAAAGAGCTGGGCATGTTTAGCCTGAAGAAGAGAAGGCTGAGAGGAGATATGATAGCCATGTATAAATATGTGAGAGGATAGGGAGATGGGAGCAAGCTTGTTTTCTGCTGCCCTGGAGACTAGGACGTGGAACAATGGAAAGGAGAAAGGAGATTCCACCTGAACATTAGGAAGAACTTCCTGTGAGAGCCATTCAGCAGTGGAACGCTCTGCCCCAGAGTGTGGTGGAGCTCCTTCTTTGGAAGCTTTTAAACAGAGGCTGGATGGCCATCTGTCGGGGGTGCTTTGAATGCAATTTTCCTGCTTCTTGGCAGAATGGGGTTGGACTGGATGGGACATGAGGTCTCTTCCAACTGTATGATTCTGTGTTCTAGCCGTTTATTCTCTTTTCTTGCGTCTCTCCCCAGGATGTGTTTGCGATTCAATGAGACCTCCTCAACCTGAGGCTCTCCAGCTGTTCGGGCCTCCAACTCCCGGCATTCCTGGCCATTGAGTAAGCTGGCAGGGGCTTCTGGGAGTTGGAGGCCTAAACAGCTGGAGGGCGACAGGTTGCGGAGGCCGGGATGAGGATGGCGCCAGGGCAGAGGGGAGACTGCGAGGAGAGAGAGAGGGGGGAGGCGGGGGGAGGGAAGGAGAGCGCGCGAGCAGAAGCCTCCCTTTCGACCTCCTCGCGCGCCCTTCCTCCCTCCCTCCCGCCCGTCTCGAGCTCGTTCTGACGGCGCGCGCCTCGGACCATGCTGGACGCCGTGAAGATGGGGCAGCCGCTTTCGCCGAGGATCCCGCTCTCCTCATCCTCCTCCTCCTCCTCTTCCTCGCTGGGTGAGTGCCTTGTGTCCCTGGACAGGGCAGCCTCCCTTGCCTCCCTCCCTTGAACAGGAAGATCCCACCGAAACTTTAGGAAGAGTTGCTCGGCAATGGAATAAGCGGATAGCTTGGATGGCTATCTGTCACAAGCGCTTGGATTGTGTTGTTGTAAGTTTTCCGGGCTGTATGGCCATGTTTCAGAAGCATTCTCTCCTGACGTTTCGCCTGCATCTATGGCAAGCATCCTCAGAGGTTGTGAGGTCTGTTAGAAACTAGGAAAATGGGGTTTATATATCTGTGGAATGTCCAGGGTGGGAGAAAGAACTCATGTCTATTGGAACTAGGTGTGAATGTTTCAATTAGCCATCTTGATTAGCATTGAATGGCAAAGCAATTTCAATTTCTTGCTTCTTACTGCCTAGGGGAATTCTTTATTGGGAGGTCATTAACTGGCCCTGATTGTTTCTTGTCTGGAATTCCCCTGTTTTGGGTGTTGTTTATTTATTGTTATGATTTTAGATTCTAGGAAAATGGGGTTTATATATTTGTGAAATGTCCAGAGTGGGAGAAAGAACTCTTGTCTGATGGAACTAGGTGTGAATGTTTCAATTGGCCACCTTGATTAGCATTGAATGGCAAAGCAGTTTCAAGGTCTGGCTTCTTACTGCTTGGGGAATCATTTGTTGGGAGGTGATTGTTTCTTGTCTGGAATTCCCCTTTTTAGTGTTGCTCTTTATTTACTGTCCTGATTTTAGAGTTTTTTTTTAAATACTGGCAGCCAGATTTTGTTCATTTTCATGGTTTCCTCCTTTTTGTTGAAATTGTCCACATGCTTGTGGATTTCAGTGGCTTCCCTGTGTAGTCTGACATGGTGGTTGTGAGAGTGGTCCAGCATTTCTGTGTTCTCTGATAATATTCTCTGATAATAAGGTTTGATTGTGTTTTCCTGCATGGCAGGGTTTGACTGAAGAGCTTGGGGGGGGGGGTCTTCCAACTCTACGATTCTATGAGTAATGATCCTTACAATTTGGAAAAGTAATTGTCAAAACATTTCTTTCTTTTTTTAAAAAAATTATTGCAGGTGTTCCCATTTAGTTGCACCCTTTTTTCACAATAACTTTAGTCAATTTTGTCTTTTGGTTTTATTCACGTTTCATTTTCTCTTGGGACCGGTATATTTGTCTTTTTAGCCCTTCCAAGTTACCCACGTTTGCATGGAGTGGATTTTCTTCCTAACACCTTTCCTCGCTGTCCAGCTTTCACGAGGATAGGTAGAAAGGGGAAAGATGAGAACATGGACAAGCCTTGCTTTGGTATTGAAGGATCCACGCCTATTAAATAATACCTTCCACACAGCTGAATAAAATCCCACATTATCTGCTTTGAACTGGGATATATGGCAGTGTGGACTCAGATCACCCAGGGCCCTTCCACACAGCCTTACATCCCAGAATATCAAGGCAGAAAATCCCACAATAGCTTTGAACTGGGTTACCTGAGTCTACACTCAGATAATGTGGGATTTCCTGCCTTGATATCCTGGGATATAGGGCTGTGTGGGAGGGCCCTGAGAGATATTTATAATTCCCTGAATCAAAGAATAAAAGCATAAAGTGAGGGGTGTGGGCAGAGATGTGATTAATAATGCAGTTAATTAGCTGGTCTGAGTCCCTCTACGGAGGTAGAGAAGATCGGGATAGAAAAGTTTTGATTAATTAATAAATTAATAATTATTAATAATTAATAATAATAATTAATAATGCAATTAATAGAAGCACAAATCCTTTTGACAGTGTGTCACTGACTGTATGTTATCCGCTATTTCACACACACACGCGACTGTTATTCTATTTGCATCCCGAGACTCATTTGGAAGGAAGAGATAAACTTGGAGTATAACAAACGTGTGGAAAAAGGGGGATATAAATCCACTTCAGCATAATAGGCTGAATCCCATGCTCACCAGCAATATCAATTGACGCTAAAATATTCAGGAGGATCAATAAAGACTCACTTCTTTTGACAAACTCTTGGTGCAAGTTTTTTTTTCATGTCAGGAGCGACTTGAGAAACTACAAGTCGCTTCTGATGTGAGAGAATTGGCCGTCTTCAAGGACGTCACCCAGGGGACCCCTGGATGTTTTGATGTTGTACCATCTTTGTGGGAGGCTTCTCTGATGTCACTGCATGGGGATTTGGAGCTGACAGAGGGAGCTCATCCGCGCTCTTCCCGGATTCGAACCACAGTCCTGCCGGCACAAGGGTTTCCCTCATTGCGCCACCGGAAGGCTCTTATTGCAAGTCATCCACCAAGACTGGACCTACATTGCCTTATATCCCAGATTATTTTCTTATCTCAGATTATTTGGCAGATTATTTGACCCTAAAAAAAAATCCCATACTTTATGTGACTGTGGAGCAGAACAGACAACTCCGCATCTGTCTGCTTGTCCACTATGCCCTGCCTCATGTACAGAGGAAGAATTGTTGGAGGCTACAGACAATGCCGTTGCTGTTGCCCGTTTTTAGTCAAAAGATATTTAGCCACCTGCGCTCCTATTTTTATCAGTTTTATACTAATTTATGCAATGCTTTTGATACGAAATAAATAAATAAATAAATAAATAAGGCAGTGGAGGTTTATATAATCCATTTCAAAGTGATCTGATCCTGGGCTATATGGCAATGTATATCCAGCCTCTGTGTCCTTCCACACAGCCATATAACGCAGAATATCAAGGCAGAAAATCCGACAATATCTGCTTTGAACTGGGTTATCTGAGTCTACACTCACATAATGTGGAGATTTTCTGCCTTGATATTTTGGGATAGAGGGTAGTGTGGAAGGGCCCCTGGGTGCCCATTGTGTTCATTTTTAGTAGTTTAATGTTTTTATTTTATATTCTTGTGCTGTATATTTACATTTGGTATTTTTGTATTTTATGTTATTTGATTTTCTGATTTTCTGTTGTATTTTTGTGTTATATTGTGTTTCTGTTTTGATGGGCATGGCCTCATGTAAGCCGCCCTGCCTGGAGTTCCCTTTGGGGAGATGGTGGCAGGGTATAAAGAAAGATTATTATTATTATTATTATTATTATTATTATTATTATTATTATTATTATTACCTGTCCACACTGCCATATATCCCAGTTCAAAGCAGATTATGTGGGATTTTATTTCCTCACTGCATCCCAGTATATATATGGTAATGTGGACTCAGATAACCCAGTTCAAAACAGATATTGTGGGATTTCTTGCCTTGATATTGTGGGTTATATGGCAGTGTGGAAGGGCCCCGAGTCACAAGTCAAAAAATGGTTAGGAAAATAGTATTTTTTAATTAAAAATATCTAGTTTCTCCTTTTTAGTTTGTAAAATATTGCTTCCCTGCAATATTTAGCATTTCACAATCATTCTGGGTTTTATTAAATTTTTAAAAATAGTCTTTCAGTCAAGTAATAAACAATAAAGGAAAATAAAACCAGGATCGCCAATTTGGGAGATTCAAACAAATTGCTCTGATCCCAACATCAATTTTGCTCATTTGCCAACAAATGAGTGTCACTCCGAATTAACAACTCCCCGTTTTAGTGTTAGTTCTATTTTATTTCGGCTGAGAAATAACTATTAATGTAGTCTAACGAAAAAGAGGAGAAAAACCCTTTGGATTCCAACACGCTTTGCCTTTTTAATGCTGAACCAATGCACAGAATGGTTCCCATTCTGAATAAATGCGCATAGAAACCTATCTCTGCCCGTCGAGAGGAGAAATAGGGGGAGAAACAGCCGCCTGGAAGTCGCAAAACACAATTTTAAATAGCGAGAGAAAGCGCAAGTTGTTGTTGTTTTTGTGGGGGGCAAACACGCAAAACCAGTTTGTTCCTTTCTAGTCGACCATATCGAGAGAAAGGTTGTCAAAACGCGACTGAAGATCAAAACATTGGGAAAAGGCATGGAGAAAAACATCCCGGATGTTAATTTTTTTGGGAGAGGGGAGTCACATTCTCCTCCTAAAGAACAAAACAAAACCAAACCTCATAACAATAAGGAGGAGAAGTAAGAATTATACACCAGACTCTGCTTTATACCTCTGAATCCACTCCTATCCTAGGTTGCCATGCAGGAAAAACACAATCAAAGCACTCCCAACAGATGGCCATCCAGCCTCTGCTTAACAACCGTCAAAGAAGGACTCTCCACCACACTCTGAAGCAGAGAGTTCCACTGCTGAACAGCTCTCACAGTATTTATTTATTTACAGTATTTATATTCCTCCCTTCTCACCCCGCAGGGGACTCAGGGCGGATTGCAATGTACATATACATAGCAAACATTCAATGCCATAGACACACAACATATATAGACAGACACACAGAGTCCATTTAGGAAGTTCTTCCTAATGTTTAGGTGGAATCTCATCTCCTGTCATTTGAGCTCATTGCTCCAAATCCTAGTCCCCAGAGCAGCAGAAAACAAGTTTGCCCCCTCCTCACTGTGACATCCTTTCAGATATATGGCCATACCAAGCCCTCTTCTCAGCCTTCTTTTCTCAAAAGTCTTGGCTTCAAAACCTTTGATCATTTTGCTCACCCTCTTTGCTGAGAAACATGACATGGAAACTCAGGAACTGGGATGCTGTGAGTTTTCCAGGCTGCATGGCCATGTTCCAGAAGCATTCTCTCCTGACGTTTCACCCACATCTATGACAGGCATCCTCAGAGGTGTGAGGTCTGTTGGAAACTTCTGCCTCCTGCCTGGGGAAAATCCTTTGTTGGGAGGTATTAGCTGGCCCTGATTGATTCTTGTTTGAAGTTCCCCAGCTTTTTGAGTGTTGTTCTTTATTTACTGTCCTGATTTTAGAGTTATTTTTTAAATACTGGTAGTCAGATTTTGTTCATTTTCATGGCTTCCTCTTTTCTGTTGAAATTGTCCACATGCTTGTGCATTTCGACAATTCCCCCAGGGAGCAACCAGTCAGGCTTTGAAGCTGCAAGGCCATTAAATGCTAATCAAGGTGGCCAATTGCAACATTCCCACTTGCCTCCAGCAGACAAGAGTTTTTTTTCTCCCACCTTGGACATTCCACAGATATATAAACCCCACTTGTCTAGTTTCTAACAGATCTCACAATCTCTGAGGATGCCTGTCATAGATGAGGGCAAAAGGTCAGAAGAGAATGCTTCTGGAACATGGCCACACAGTCTGGAAGACTCACAGTGATTCTAGCCATGAAAGCCTTCCATGACACGTTGAATTTAGGAACACTTCTACAAAAGCGATAGGGTCGCAGTTAAACACTAAACATAATGCTAGTAATAATCAAGTATTATCTAAATATAAATAATAGATTGATATTACATAAAACTTGTACACGTTATATAACTATAACAATATCTATAACAGCCTAAGCTATCACCCATGGCTGGATATGATTGCCTTCCATAATAACATTATGTTACAAAACTTTTTTTAAAATCCTATTACTGGTTTGAAGGTGTTATTAATTGTGTGGTACTTACTTTGAAAGTTGTTATACTCCCACAAACAATGTTGAATTGGTTGAGACTCTAGTGAGATATCCCTTGAAAAACTGTAGCAAAATGTGTGGCAGGACGTCCCGCCAAAACAAACTTTGGGTAGTTTAATAAAACTTATTCCATGTGTGTAATTTGGAACCAATTTGGAAAGGATATTTATAGTCTAGGAACAAACATCTTGTTTCAAAGTGTAATATATTTCTATTATACTAGCCGTCCCTTGCCACACATTGCTGTGGTCCAGTCTGTGTACATGTGTTTTCTGTGTGTATATGTGTGTGTGCATTTGTGTATATGTGTATATATGTGTATTTGCATGTGTGTGTGTGTGGTTTTGCACATGCATTGTAATGTATTATTTGTTTTTTTTTGGCTTTTTAAGTCTCTTCTGCTGTTTTCCAGTGTTTTTATGAGTGATGGTCACTCCTTGGCCTGACAGATGTCTTGTGTCCAAATTTGGTGATAATTCATCCAGTGGTTTTTGAGTTATGTTAATCTCACAAATGAACATTACATTTTTATTTATATAGACTAGCCATCCCCTGCCATGCGTTGCTGTGGCCCAGTCTGTGTATATGTCTTTTGTGTGTGTATATGTGTGTGTATATGTGTTTGTGTGTATATATGTGGTTTTACGCATGCGTTGTAATGTAATTTTTGGTTTTTTGGCTTTTTAAGTCCCTTCTGTTGTGTTTTTCAGTGTTTTTATGAGTGATGGTCACTCGTTGGCCTGATAGGTGTATTGTGTCCAAATTTGGTATTAATTCACCCAGTAGTTTTTGAGTTAGCCGTCCCCTGCCACACGCTGCTGTGGCCCACATGGGGGTTCTGTGTGGGAGGTTTGGCCCAATTCTATCATTGGTGGGGTTCAGAATGCTCTGTGATTATAGGTGAACTACAAATCCCAGCAACTACAACTCCCAAATGTCAAGATTCTATTTTCCCCAAACTCCACCAGTGTTCACAAACTGTGTGGAAGGTTTGGCCCAATTCTATCATTGGTGGGGTTCACAATGTTCTTTGATTGTTGGTGAACAATAAATCCCAGCAACTACAACTCCCAAATGACAAAATCAATTTTTTTTGTGAATGACATACATTGGGATGTTAAGTGTCTTGTGTCCAAATTTGGTGTCTATTCGTTCAGTGGTTTTTGAATTATGTTAATCCCACAAACGAACATTACATTTTTATTTATATAGATTATATAAAACTTGTGCAATATGTTATATAAATATAACAATATTGGTAATAATAACTCACGAAATATAATATAATGCACTAATGTTTAGAGTAATAACATCGAAAGCATCTATGGCAAGGATCCTCAGAAGTTGTGAGGATGCCTGCCATAGATGCAGGCGAAACGTCAGGAGAGAATGCTTCTAGAACATGGCCATACTGCCCTAAAAATCTACAACAACCCAGTAATTCCGGCCATGAAAGCCTTCGACAATTGAGAATATATTTTGTTATGTAACGTTTTCCTCTTTGAGAGCCGAGCCCTCGGGATTTGGTGCCCTCCCCTCCCTCCCGTTCTTGAGGAAAGCAACAGCCTTGCATTGCTCGGGAGTTGGCTCAGGGCGGGGTTCCCGGATGTAGCGGACCCAAAGGTGTCCCACCTGGGACTTCGGAGGTAGCCCTGCTCCTCAGCGAGTGACGCCCCTCTCTTCTTTCCCTCCTTATTGCAGGGCGCGCGGCGTGCGCGGGCTGCGGGGGCCTCATCGCCGAGCGCTTCCTGCTGAGCCTCGACGACGGCCTGTGGCACGAGCGCTGCGTCCGCTGCGCCTCCTGCCGCGAGCCCCTTCGCAGCACCTGCTTCTCCCGCGACCGGAAGCTCTACTGCCGCCTCGACTACCACAAGTAAGTGCCCGCGCGCATGCACGCACGCGCTCTCCCTCACTCACCTCTCGTGCGCCACGGGGCGAGGCCTCTCGCATCCTTTATCAAGGAAAAAGGGTTTTCCCGCTTCTTTTCCCCTCGGGAGCAAGCGAGACGCCTGGGCGCTAAGCTCCGCCCCCTTCACCTGAATTAATACCTCTCTGGAGGAAAGAAGGTATACTATTCAACCAGTTTCTTCCTACTGCAACACCAACAATGTAGTCCAGGGGGGTCCTCAGACTTTTTAAACAGAGGGCCAGGCCACAGTCCCTCAAACTGTTGGAGGGTCGGATTATAATTTGAAAAAAAAAACCCATGAATGAATTTCTATACACATTGCGCATATTTATTTATTTATTTTATTTCCAGTATTTCTACCTCGTCCTTCTCAACCCCTGAAGGGGGACTCCGGATGGCTTACATTTGGCACAATATGATGCCATTAAATATAACAAAGCAATATAACAACAATTAAAACAATAAAACCGCCCTATCACCATTCCAGTCAAATTCCATATCCAAAGCACTATTTATGCCTGCTGTCCAAAAGCCTGGTCCTAGAGCCACGACTTCAATTTCTTCCTAAAAAACAGGAGGGATGAAGCCAATCTTACCTCTTTGGGAAGCGAGTTCCACAGACGGGGGGCTACAGCCGAGAAGGCCCTGTCTCTCGTCACGGCCAGATGTATTTGTGACGCTGGCGGGAGCGAGAGCAGGGTCTCCCCAGATTATCTTAAACTGCAAGGCGGGACGTAGAGGGAGATGCGTTCTGACAAGTAAACTGGGCCAGAACCGTATAGAGCTTTATAGGTCAATACCAGTACTTTGAATTGAGTTCGGAAGTGGACTGGCAGCCAGTGGAGCTGACACAAGGGGGTGGTGTGCTCCCTGTATATCGCTCCAGTTCATAATCTGGCTGCAGCCCATTGGACTAGTTGAAGTTTCCGAACAGTCTTCAAAGGCAGCCCCATGTAGAGTGTGTTGCAGTAATCTATTCTGAATGTAACAAAAGCGTGGACCACTGTTGCCAGATCAGACTTCCCAAGGTATAGGCAGGCATGTAGGGGGGGGGGCTTGAGGGGCTTCAGCCCCGCCCCCCCGAAATTCTCATGGTGGTTCGCAAAAAGGCCTTACTGGTGCATTATTTAAACTGTTATGTTTATTCATATCATGATCTGATCACCATACTCAATATATCCCATATGCATGGGGGTATTGGGGTAATGATACAAAAGGTTTGCTAGGTAGACCCTCTTTCACTCAGACTCAGCCCCCCCCCCCGAACCCCCCTGAAAAAAATTCAGCCCTCCTCCCGAAACGAAATCCTGGCTATGGGCCTGGGTATGGGCACAGCTGACGCACAAGCTTTAATTGTGCAAATGCTCCTGTGGTCACCGCCGAGACCTGGGGTTCCAGGCTCAGTGATGACTCCAAGATCACTCCCAAGCTGCAAACCTGCATCTTCAGGGGGAGTGTGACCCCGTCCAACACAGGCTGTAACCCTATGCCCTGTTCAGCCTTACAACTGACTAGAAGTCTTGCCTGGATTCAATTTCAATTTGTTAGCCCTCATCTAGTCCAACACAGCAGCCAAGCACCTTTCTTATCTTACTTGTAGTGAAAAAAACACTTTAAAACTATACAATAATTAAAATAAAGATAATTTTTAACAAATATAAATTTATTAGTATTTCAATGGGAAGTGTGGGCCTGTTCTTGGCTGATGAGATAGGGTTGTTGTTGTTGTTGTTGTTTGCTTACATGTCATTTCAGACTTATATTGACCCTGAGTGAGGACCAGGTAAATGACCTTGGAGGGCCATATTCGGCCCCTGGGCCTTAGTTTGAGGACACCTGATGTAGTCATTTGGATTTCTGTTGAGAGTTCAGACTTGATTTGCTCAAAGATCCATTTTGGTTTGTCTGTGATATTCATACTGCAGAATTCCACCTTTTGGTACCACATTTGAATTTTTTTTTTCCGGCCAGCTTTTTCACCACCAAGCTTTCATTTCTATACATTGTTATTGCTATCAGGTCAGCTTCCTCTTGTGGTATGACACATCCAAGAGTCCCAGCCATCAATATTTCTACTTAGGTCTTGGAACTGCATGGCTGCTTGAATGAACCGATCAGTAACGTGATCTTCTTGTTTTACTATCGACTTCCAGCATGTGTTTTCCAAATGAGTCGTGTCTTCTCATGATATTTCCACAGTATGATTGCCTCAGTTTAGTCATTTTAAATTTTGGGGAGAGTTCAGGTTTGATTTGTTCTATGAATTATTAATTTGTCTTGTTAGCAATAGTAAACCACTCATTAACAATCACATCAGATAAACTGATTTTCTTCCTGACACCTTTGAAAGCCCACAATTACCTATAACTTAAATAATATATAAAATATCCAAAAAGCACCAAATCCCATCTGATTTTGAAAAATAAGCAGCGTTGGACTGCCAAGAAATGCCAAGTGCTGTAGGCTGTATTTCAAAGGAAAGATCTGTGATGAAACACTTACTGGTATCTGATATGTGATGTATAAACATTCCAGTACTTTAATGCCTTGTTACTATTGTGATTTTATTGATAGTTTTGCATTTTTTTTGTATTGTTAAGCCACCCTGAAGGCACCAGGAGAGCCGTAATGGGTTCTCTCACTTTGGAGTGTTCCTTACACACAAAAACTCTGCTAGTTAATGTATATATGCATATTATGACCCCCACCCCCGCCCCATGGAAACAGGGAACAATGGATATTAATATAAAAATTCTGGTTTCTACAGCAAGTTATGATAGAATTGCCTAGAGAGAAAATACTTTGTCTGATACAAGTATATTAAATCATGGGTTCCAGTTCCATGATAATAGGGGTTGTACTGTGTGTGTGTGTGAGAGAGAGAGAATAGCTATGGTGTAGTGGTTTGAGCCACTCAGCCATAGAAACTCACTGTGTGATCTTGGGCGAGTTGTAATTTCTCATCCTCAGAGGAAGACAAAGGCAACCCCCTCTGAACAAACCTTGCTAAGAAAACCTCATCATAGACTTGCAATAATTTGGAAATAACTTGACCACAGTTTTCTGTACAGCTGCTGTCAGTCATGTTCCAGCCTCTCCTGTTACATCATTTTAATGCATTTTTTTGTCAGGCAATGGTACTGTTTGTAATTCTTTGAATTCTTGTGATCTTTTCATAGCATGCCAAACTTTTACAGCTCCATACAGATTTAAAACAAGTTGTACAAAAGTGTGCCAACTGGCTTCCTGTTTTTCTTCTCAGGCCAATTCTATCAGCGAAGGTTATATATACATTGACCCACTGATCAAATTAACTCTTGAGATTAACATAGCCATCCATATATATATATATATATATATATAGAGAGAGAGAGAGAGAGAGAGAGAGAGAGAGAGAGTAATTTTAGTAAAATATCAGGATCTTCTGTTAAATAGTCTAAATCAGAAATATTGCCAGTAGCAGTCAAGACAGAAGCACAGCAGTTTCAGTATTGCTCTAATTCTGTTTGGACATAATTAGATTTATTATCTCTAGGGAAATTTTGGGGGGCACACATCCTCTTTGAATTTCAAGGAAAAGGATGAAAATTTCTATCAAAGTGGGAGGATTTGGCCTTCCAGATCTTGTTACATACCACCAGGCTTTTCTGTTATATTGTATTACATTTTTTGACATATCAAAGCAAATGATTTGCCTTGAAGTCTTCATTTCTGGCAGTTCTCTTAAAATAGATTTGGTTCTCATTTTTATAAAAGGACAGTGTTTGTCAATAATATGATAGTTTGTTATCACCGAATTTTATGGACTAAGGACTGGTTAATTATGGATGACGAATTCTGGACTGTGATTTTAGTGACGAGATACATGGTATTATTATTGGTGGCCCAATAATTTGTATTGTCTATGTGTTGTTGTTTTAAATTGTATATTGTTTTTAATTGTTGTAAACCGCAATGAGTCGCCGACTTAGGCTGAGATATTAGCGGTATACAAGTGTATTAAATAAATAAATAAATAAATAAATAATGTCAGTACTTAGAACACTGTGGCAAATGCTGCCTGATAAATTGCAATGTAGCACATATCCTCACACCAAATTGATTTAATGGGGGAATCCAGATTTGAAAATTGGTTAAAACCTGTGGGTCCCCAGATGTTTTGGCCTTTAACTCCCAGAAATCTTAACAGCTGGTAAACTGGCTGGGATTTCTGGGAGTTGAAGGCGAAAACATCTGGGGAACCACAGGTTGAGAACCACTGGATTAAAAAAAGCCACTTTTTATAAGGGAGGGGCTGGCAATGAGATTGTTACCTTAAATTGGATACATTGTATTAATTATGAGCTTTCCCCCCTCTGTTCAGTTTTACAAGAGCAGTTTAAACTAAGTCTCCCACCTTAATGTATCTATAACTGAAACATTTGTTACAATCCAGATTTGGCTTTATAGCTTAAGTGCACCACAGGCTTACTTAATATAGACATTAATTGTGGCCAACCAAGTATCCCAAATAACAATTTGTATATATAATAAGTATGGCATGAAAGGTCACAGTAAAAATGTGAGCTCCCGTTGTTAGCCCCAGCTTCTGTTGACGTAGCAGTTCGGAAACATGCAAATGTGAGTAGCTCCATACTAAGTATAAACAATTTTTTTATTACTTCCTTAATTGTCCTAGCTAAATGTTTTGGACAAATGATTTCTTGTAATCTTTGTATGTTTCTATATACATTTTGATTGGTTAAGAACATCATTAAGACAAATTTAATGCTGAGTGACATTTCTCAGTATATCACACAATCTTTTTTTATATTATACGGAGAGGTTTTTTGTTGGGATATAACATCTTAGGACACCATGCACATTTAAGGAGTAATTTCTTTGAAGAGTATAGGATGTTTGCTGTTTTTCCCCATGACGCTAATGGTATTCTCTTAGTCATTTAAGGTTCAGTATTGATTCTG